GTTATTCAGTGAATGGATGTGGTTTCTGGTTTCTTGACTGAATTCACCAGGCTCCCCATTGTGCTTTGTTCCTAAAGAAGTGTCAGTTTTCAGCTTTGGGACACATTCATGAAACGCAAAGGAGCTATGTGGTCATTGCACAAAACAAATGTAGAAAAACATGACTTCTTTATTAGACCATGACAAAATCAAACCAGTAATGAAAGCTTTCGTGAACTGAAAACCACTTCTTCAGGCATGCACCAGTAACTTGTGGCAAGTGCAGAAAAAATCACAGCAAACATTTATAGAATTTTATTTTATTTTATTTTATTTTATTTATTCAATTTATACGCCACCCATCTAGACAAAGTCTACTTTGGGCGGCTAACAATAATAGATAAAAGAAAAAAATAATATAATAAAATAAAGACAATATTAATAATATAATTCAAGATGAGTTTAAAGCTGCTCACAGGCAGGCTTTGAGGGTGTGGTTTTGATGCTTCATCTCTAGTAACAGGTGGATGGAAATTTCCACTCACTAATTCAGCCAGAGATTAATTAAACACACCTTTAAAAAATCCCTGGCAAACATTTGTGTCATTCATTGATAATTTTTCTTCACTCTTCACAAATCACTGGTGCATGCCTGAAGAAGTGGTTTTCAATTCACAAAAGCTCGCATAAAGGTGTTGCATCCTTCTGCATTTCCATTTATGAAATGGTTTACAAGAGTAAACTTTTCCTAATGAGCATGGATTAATCGGGAGGACTGTATCTTGAGCTATACTCATATGTGCAGATGATGTGCTGTTGATCGAGGAAGGCTTTTGCCTCCCCCTTGTCCCACAAATCTAAGAATGAACATGATTTCCCCCACCAAATTAAGCCATGGACTTTAGAGTTAATGTACTCCAAGGTCAGTTCTGTTTTTGTTACTGAAAACAAATGCTTTGGTTCTGAATAAACTCAGGAGCATCCAGACCTTTCACATCATTTCTCCTGCTCCACCACCCAGTTCCCCCCCTCCAAGTTTCGGTTGCAATTTTGAAGTTTCAAAATCACTCCCAAAACCTGAAGTCAGATCTGGGTCAACAGGGCAGAAAGGGGGGGGGTGGAAGGCCAGCAAAGGGATGCATCTAAAGACTTACCAGTCTCATCTATGCAGATTCCATACATCCGCAGAATGCAGGGGGACTCAAGCCTCTTCAGTGCTCTGATTTCCTCCTCAAAGATTTTCCTTACCTTCCTGTGGGAGGCGGGAGAATACGATCAGCTCCTAGAATAGGACTGAGAGACCGTCTACTGATCTGATCCATCCCACAGGAGTAAGATGGCCTTTCCATGTGGGGCTGAAGGTCAAAAGAGACAATCAGAGAAATGCCTGTCTGCCTGTCCTGTTCTTACACCTTTTCCTCCCCATCAATGTGTCTCCTTTCTTATCCGCTACTCCAGAAATGACAAAGAAAGCCGTTACTTATATTCTGACAATAGCCATGAAATGCATGCTTCTCCTTCTAATGTGTATTACAATTCCACCTTTTTGTAAAAGGCGAAAGATTTATACGATCTGAAGAGAAACCACAGCCACTTGTGGGAGCACCCCCGAAAGATTTATACAATCTGAAAAGAAACCAGAGCCACTTGCGGGAGCACCCCTGCTAGAAGTGGATTTCTCCGAAAGTATGATGAGAATCCAGTCCAGATTTGAGGATGTACTTTACAGGAGCTGTCCTTAGGACATGAGCTAATGCCAAATCAGCCAGAGGCCTACGAAACAGCCATGGGCAAAGGGGTCAGAATAAGAAGGGGTCGGGGATCATCCGTGAGATTTGTTAGTTGTGTATAAGGAGAAAAGAGGAGCATCTCATATGCCCTCCCGTCCCCCCTGTTCCTTATCAGAAATACTAAGAGGTGCTTACTTCGTGTCGGTGGTCAAAGGATTTTTGAAGACTTTGACAGCCACAGGAAACTTGTAATATTCTCCTTTGTACAGCGTGTATTGCTTTGCTTCCATGACGCACGTCAGGTTTGTTATCAAGCTCTTCTTTATCTCTGCAATCTCCAGTGGAGGATCAGCCCCCTGTTCTAAAGAGGAAAAAGAGAGGATTTGAAGAAAACAGTCCATGGAAAGACAACCGGGGGGAGGGGGGCAGAGAGAAGGAAACAGACAGACAGACAGACCCTAAGAGATGAAGCAGCTGCTCACAGTCACCTGGGCTGACCCATCTCCAGGAGCAACCCAGGAGTGCCATTAATATATGGTGGGGAAACATGGGCCTCCCCCTGAATTTCCCAGTGGTGCAGAGGATGCCGGGGACCCCTCTTTGCAACATAAAACAAAATGCTATGGAGCATCATCCCACAGCAACTCCCTTGGGAGAGTCCAGGATTCACTTGCAGAAAACTCTGCTTTCCTGTTCCTTAACGGGGTGCTGCTCCGAGAGTGGGTTATGGTGCCGCAGAACAGCCCTGCCACGATGCTAGATGGCTTTCCCGCCCTCCCCTGCTCAGTTGAACCAGGTGCCTTGCTTTCCAGCTCCCCATCCAGAGGCCCTTATCTGAGACCAAGACCCCTCAAGCTTAGCCGGTGGCCACCCCACCTCTTCCCTGCAATGCGCACGGTCTACTTCTTCCCTCCCTTGGTCCTACCCTCTTGGTTTTTTCCCCCCCAAGTCCGGAGGAGTGCCAAGAACCGGAAAGCACCTTTGAGCATCTCCTTCAGGGAGACCTTGTCCTCCGCCAGATCTTGGCAGCTCTCCTTGCTCACCACCTGCCTCTCGAAGCAGGCCAGGACCTTCTGCTCCACCTGCAGCTGCAGCAGGAGCCCTTCGGCCACGTCGCTGAAACGCGTGTTCAGGTCGGCGAACTGCTCCAGCATGTCGCCGGCCCGGACGATCTTCTCCAGCCAGTTCTGGCCCTTGTACTTGTCGAACAGCCTCTGGGCTTCTTCCAGGAGGCCCAGCATGGACTGGAGGATCAGTTCCAAGTCGGCGGACAAGGCGCGGGCGGGCTGCCTCTGGAGGAGCCGGACGGGCCGCAGCACCATCTCCATCCGATGCACGAGGCGCGCCTTCTGCTTCTTGCAGCACTTCATCTGCTGGCTCTGGTCGTAGATGACCTTGGCTGCTGTCAGGATCCCCTCCACCACGTCCATAGCTGCAGGAGAGGGGAAAGCATCGTGGGGGGACAAGCAGAACAGGGCTCGGAAGGGGCCATTGCACGCCCCCCCTCCAGGACGTGGGTCGGGCAGAAGGCGAGTTATGGTCCTCCCAGCCTTGCGAAGGCTACCCAGTTTGTATCCCCCCCCTTGGAAGGCTTAGGTGGCCACCAGATGTGTGCAGGTTTGTGTGTTCGGACTCCAACCCCAAGGGTGTGCCTCTTTGTCCCATCTGGGGGCTAAAACAGCTGGTTAAGGCACTGCACCAAAAGGCTAAGCGGGCTGGCTCCTCTCCCCAGTCCTGTCTGGCCCCCAACTCTTCCTCTATTTGATCTCAACATGCCCTCTTCCCCTACTCCAGCCTCTGAGCTCCAGAATCTTCCACCTCCACTCTTGGAAGAGAGGCAGGGTTCCCTCTCACCGGTCCAGTCCCAGTTTACCTGCTCTCCTGGTCCGATGCGGTCCCTCCTCTCTCCCTCTCTCTCTCTCTGAATCTCTCCCTGTCTTTCTCTCTCTCTCTTTGTGATCCAGAGTTTGCTCTGAGTGTGTCGGTGGAATTTCTGTACTTCCCCTTCCCAGATGCTGGCCCTCCACTTCCTGATGACACTTCACAGAGCGGGTTGGGCCATTTAAAAAAAAAAAAGTCCTTCTGCCAGGGATGTGTTGGTTTGCTTTCAGTTTCAGAAGCTGCTTGCAGCCTGTCCTGCCCAGACTTTGCTCAGGGGAGGTTCCTTCGCCCCTCGCTTCTCCCGGCCTCTCCAAATAAGCCTGCCAGCATCTTGAAACTCAAGAGCAGGCTGAGCCACAGCCTCCTGCCTCCTCTTCTGGCGGAGAGTGCGCCTTGGCTCACTCAAGGAGCGATGGATAGGAGATGGGGGTCCTTTAATTTTTTTCCAGGCAGAAACACTCATCTCTGATCCCTGAGAGAGAGCCCTGGGGGAATCCATGAAGAAGGGTGTTTTGCTGCTGCAGGCAGGGGGCTTCCCAAAGCTGTTTTTGTGACTCACCAGGTCTCCCCAGAATCTCCACCAGCAAAGGTGACCCACAGCTCTGGAAGGCTGAGAGTTCCTCGGGTCCTCAAGGCAGTGACCTCGAGACAGCCCACGGGAGTGTCTCCGGAGCTGGTCCTTTGGTAGCCGTTACGAATGGTTGTGGAGTTTGCTTGACTGTTAAGATCACCAGGAGAGGCCTTCCTCTCGGTTCGGCCACCTTCTCGGGTGCATCTGATGGGGACATGGGAAAGAGAGAGCCTTCTCTGTGGACTCTCCCAGACTCTGGAACTCCCTCCCACTGGAGGCCAGCCTGGCCCCTTCCCCGCTGTCCTTTCACAAGCAGGCAAAGTCTGCTTCAGTCAGGATTCTCTTCAGTCAGGATTCCCCTTAATGACTGGCACCCTGAGAGAGGCTATTCAAAATGGATTGTTGCACCACTCCGTTGCTTTTAAATGTGTTTTTCAGGATTGATTTTATTTGTCATTTTTAATAAGAAACTTGTTTGATTCTTTTAAAAATGTTTGTATACTTATTGTTTTCAGCTTTTAAACGTTGACCTTTTAATGATGCAAGCTGCCTTGGGTCCTTTTAAGGAGAAAGGCAGGGGAAAAATATTTTAAATGAATAAATAATAATAAATAAGACGAAGCAGGTGCTCTGCAATGAAATTAAAAGCACAGGTGTGGGTTCCGGCAGCTCTAAAGCATGCAAGATAAAGAAAAAGCCAAGGGTGGCTCTGAGCTTGTCTAAATAACATGTCCTGAGAAGAATGAACCCCAGAATCTTGGAAGCACCAAGAGATGCTGAGATTTGGAAATTGCTCCTCTGAAGATGCTTATTTTAAAAAAAAAACACCATATAGTTATATATTTATTTATATATTTTGCATTGGTAACGACTGTGGTTTCTCATTATCAACTGAAATCCTGCCCCTTACCGTAGTAAATTGTACTACATTGGCTCATGGCATCCACAGGGATTTGGGTGAGTCAGCTCCTCCATAAGTTCAATTGATTTAAATGGGCTTACTCTGTTTGCAAATTGCTATGCTAAAGTAAGTCACGACTAGAGTGGGCTTGTTGGAATCAAGGGAACTTACAGAAGGGTTGACTCTCCCAGTCCCCACTGATTCAATGGGCCTATTCTAACATGACTTACCACATGAAGCAACAGGATTTCAGCCACTGGTGTTGTTCAATAAACACGATGGTCATCATCATGTCAGTACATCCTCCTGTTGCGCTCTTTGTCCCATCTTGCACTGCTATTAAAATATTTGCTCTTTGGGCCCGCCGGTTGTATGGGTTTCAATTAGAAAGGCAGCACTGGAGTTTCATTTACTAACTGGGACTTATTTGACTAGATTGCAGGTTGCAACAAACATCTAAAACAACCCAATGTTTGGTTTTTGTTGGGTTCCACAACCCAGCAGGGAAGTAGAGCATGCTGCTCAATGTTCTAGAAAAAGGGAACTGGACATGAGGAATAATGAACCTATAGCAAACTTCCGAATCCTGTACAAATTTTTTGAACCCTGCAGCAGTTGCAAGAAGTGACCACAAGATAGTGATAGAGCTCAAGTTAGAATATGTGCAGGGATCACGTGGATGGTGGAAGCCACTTGCGTTTCACAAGCGGCAGCTTCTGTGCACGGATCCTCATGCACGCCCACATTGAATCACACTGACCTTAATTTAACTGTCAGGGAATAATTGATCTGATTGCTCTTGCTCTTGTGAGTTGTTATTGCTATTCTGTGCTGTCAAGTCACATTCAACGCATAACAACCTTAATACGGTTTTCAAGGTATGTAAGATGGGGATGTGGTGGCGCTGCGGGTTAAATCGCAGAAGCCTCTGGGCTGCAAGGTCAGAAGACCAAGCAGTCGTAAGATCGAATCCACGCAACGGAGGGAGCTCCCGTCGCTTGTCCCAGCTCCTGCCAACCTAGCCATTCGAAAGCATGTAAAAATGCGAGTAGATAAATAGGGACCACCACGGTGAGAAGATAATGCATTCCGTGTCTAGTCGCGCTGGCCACGTGACCACAGAAACTGTCTATGGGCAAACACTGGCTCTACGGCTTGGAGACAGGGATCAGCACCGTGCCCTAGTGTCGGACACGACTGGACTAAATGACAAGGGGAACCTTTACTTTTACCTTTACCAGTGCTGCCCTCATGCGAGTATCTATAGCCAAACTAGGATTTGAACCCATACCTCCTGACTCCTAGTCCCTCACTCTGCCCACTACGCCACCACACTGGCTCACACCGGGGATCATTCAAAATAATTGTGCATTGATCCTGACATTTTCTAAGTATAGAGTACACAGAATTGGTTTCTTTTATTCCCTTCTTTGGGAGAATCGTGGCACTTCCCCAAGGCTACATAGGCTGGCTCTTCTTCCAGAAGGCCCCCACGGAGGGGGGTGGGAATAGACCTCCTAGCCTCTGGCTCCACAGCCAGGTATTCCAACTCACCGAGCTATCTGGCCAGCTGGTGATCATTAGGGAAATAAAATAAAACAAAAGTCCTACTTTCTTAATGCCTATGGTTATGCCCATGGATGGAATCCTTTCATTAGAAAGGAAATCTGGTGGTGGTGGTGGGGAATCATCGTTATGCCCATGGATGGAATCCTTTCATTACAAAGGAAATCTGGTAGGAGGGAGAAAAATCATCAACAACTATAAATAGCCAATCTAATTAACATCCATGTTACTCTTTCCTTGTTAAGACAGAGGGTCTCCCATTCTTTACAGCACAAGCTTCAATGACAGACCAGCGTACCAAAGACACCACTTTCCTGTCCCCTTCTTCTGCAGGTGCTCTTTGGGATGGTGCAGCTGGCCCAAGGCCACCCAGGCTGGCTTTTCTCCTCCCAGGAAGCACAGCAGTGGGGGAATCGAGCTCCCAACCTCTGACTTCACAGGCCAGCACCTAAACCACTGAGAGAGAAAGAAGTTTCCCCTTTTGCCTTCACCCTTTCCCATGTTTATTTAGTGCACCAGCTTTTCCTTCCCCTGAGGAAGAGGTGCTACAATACATGCTCAAAGTCTGGACTACTGCAATGTTTCCCAAATAAGTGTGCCCTTGAAGACTGCAACTGATCCCCATTGCACAGTGACACCATTGCTTTGCTAAAGGTTCCCCTTGACAATTTTTGTCCAGTCGTGTCCGACTCTAGGGGGCGGCGCTCATCCCGCTCTTCAAGCCATAGAGCCAGAGTTTGTCCGAAGACAATCTTTCCGTGGTCACATGGCCAGTGTGATTTAGACACGAAACGCTGTTTACCTTCCCACCGAGGTGGTCCCTATTTATCTACTCGCATTTGCATGCTTTCGAACAGCTAGGTTGGCGGGAG